ACCATGAATTCTCCCATATACAGTCTTGCATCTCTTAACAACGGGGGTACGTTCTAAGAAATCTCTCGTTAGGCACTCTCCTTGTTATGGGAACATCCTAGTGTGTACTCATACAAGCCTAGATGGTGTAGCCTACTACACACCTAGGCTGTATGGTATAGCCTATCGCTCCCAAGCTGCAAACCCATACAGCATGTTACTGTACAGAATAGTGTAAATACATAGTAACACCAGGGTAAGTATTTGTGTATTTCAACATAGAAAAGACACAGTAAAAATACAGTGTATTATAATGTCATGGGACCACCATCCTATGTGCGGTTCATCATTGGCTGAAGTGTCATTATACAGCCCATGACTAGACATCTCATTATACCTTCTCCTTTTACTTTTTTCTTTTAATACTGTCCATGAATGTAGGGGTTAGTAGCTGCAAATACAGAAAAAGGCTTACATTTACAGTAGTAGTTCAGGTCAAACAAAAATAACTCATCAGAGCCCTGTCTTCTAGTCTTCTCCAAAGAAAAAAGAATCCTGAACTAAAATGTTAGTCCCAGCACTGTGCAGCATCACTGGAAAGTGTAAATCAGAGACTGCCTATTTTACTCACCCCTCCCTGGCAGGAGAAGCGCAGAGCTCAGAGAGAGGTTAGTCTAGCTTAATTCCCTAATCAATTCAGGAAATGAGTCTTGAACATCACTGACAGATAACTATCTAGTCTTGATTTCAGTACTTCAAGTGTCAGGATATTCACTATCCTATCAACAATAAGTAACAAATAACAATTGCCCCTCTGAACTCTGAATCAGTTAGGATTTTCTTTGGCTGAAAGTTTTTTTAAAAAACAACTAGCTAGGCTGGGTACAGTGGCTCATGCCTATAATCCCAGCACTTTGGGAGGCTGAGGTGGGCAGATCATGAGGTCAAGAGATCGAAACCATCCTGGCTAACATGGTGAAACCCTATCTCTACTAAAAATATAAAAATTAGCTGGGCGTGGTGGCATGTGCTTGTAGTCCCAGCTACTCGGGAGGCTGAGGTAGGAGAATTTGCTCAAACCCAGGAGGCAGAAGTTGCAGTGAGCTGAGGTTGTGCCACTGTACTCCAGCCTGGCGCCTGGCACCTGGCAACGGAGCGAGACTCTGTCTCAAAAAAAAAATAAATAACTGTAGCTAAACAAGGTAAAAATTTATTTTATATAAATTCTAGGTACAAGCAGTCATAGCAGTGGTATGACATGCTATGGCCTAAGAGACTCAGGTTCCCTATATTTTTCTGCTCCTTTGTGTGGCTTCTCCACAGTTAGCTTATGTCCCAAAATGGCTGCTGAAGCTCCAGCCCTTATGTCCTAAGTCCATTTAAAAGGAAAGAGGAAATGGGGCAGAAGAACTTGCTTCTTCCCTTTAAGGACACTGCCTGGAAGTTGCATTCACCAGTTCTACTGACATCTCATTGGTCAATAAGACACTTTTACCTGCAAGGGAAGCTGGTAAATGTAATCCATATTTCAGATAGCCATATGCCCACAATAAACATCATGAAGAATGCGCTGGGCGTGGTGGCTCACAACTGTAATCACAGCACTTTGGGAGGCCGAGGCAGGTGAATCACAAGGTCAGAAGTTCAAGACCGGCCTGATCATCATAGTGAAACCCCATCCCTACTAAAAATACAAAAAATTAGCCAGGCATGGTGGCAGGTGCCTGTAATCTCAGCTACTTGGGAGGCTGAGACAGGAGAATCACTTGAACCCAGGAGGCAGAGATTGCAGTGAGCCAAGATCGTGTCACTGCACTCCAGCCTGGGAGACAGTGTGAGACTTTGTCTGTAAATAAATAAATAATAAAAACCATTAATTTTTTACAAAGAAGGAGAAAGTAGATATCATGTTTCTATGACAAAGTCTAAGCCTCCTCCTGACAGCAGTTAAAGTAGATTTGGCTTTGAGAAAAAAAAAAAAAAAAAAAAACAGTTTTGGTTTTTAATCATCCCTGGTAGGTCTGAGCTCACCAAAACAATAGGAAGAAGATGCTCATCTGAGGAGTGGCTGCTACCAACAACGTCCATGGCAGCGGCAGAATTAGCTGCCCCTCCCAGAGACCTTCAGTTTACTCAAAGTCAGAAACATTGACAGCTGCAGCCTGGCTTTTGAAGTCGCTCTTTTGGAGCTGCCCAGCAATCCCTCTTGGACTACTAACCAAAGCCCCAGAAATGCCACCCGCTCTCACACCCTGCTGTGGTATAGGTGAACTCAGGTGGCATTGTCCTAGCCTTGAGCCCTAGGAGACACTGGCTGCATCCACTTGGTTCCCAGCAGGGAAGATGGTGTGTTTCTATCGGGCATCTACTGTCAGTAGGAAGGTCTTCCTAAGACTGAGTCAAAACCTGCTCTGTAAAAAATTCTGAAATTCTGCTGTTTAGGCACTTCTGTCTGGTGTCCTAGGCTCCACATCTAGTACATAATTAAAATCACCTACTGGCAGGGCATGGTGGCTCATGCCAGTAATCCCAGCACTTTGGGAGGCCGAGGTGGGTGGATCACAAGGTTAGGAGTTTGAGACCATCCTGGCCAACATGGTGAAACCCCGTCTCTACTAAAAATGCAAAAAATAAAATAGCTGGGCATGGTGGCACGTGCCTGTAGTCCCAGCTACTTGGGAGGCTGCGGCAGGAGAATTGCTTGAACCCAGGAGGTGCAGATTGCAGTGAGCCGAGATCACACCACTGCACTCCAGCCTGGGCGACAGTGCGAGACTCCATCTCAAAACAAAACAAAACAAAACGATCACCTACCAGGTTTTTCACCAAAATTAAAAATTGCTAAGAGTTAACTTTGTAACATGTAATTAGGATTACGAGAAACAATCGGTTTCACATGCAAGGCCTGTGAGGAAGTGAAATGTGCTTTAGTAAAAGATTATAAGAAGGCTTGGGGATGTACATTTTTGCCTAGTTTGCAGGGCAAAAGGGTTGTTTTAAATTAGATAGGATAAACCTAAAAAGTTTGAGCAAGTTTTGGAAGGTTTGTGAAAAATTAATTGTAAAAGAGATTCTGTGTATGACCATATTGGCTAAATTTAAAGGGCTATTGTTCAGTTTTTTCCATGCTTTTGGAATAAAGCACAACAGGTTTTTCATAGAGCATGGATCTGCTCTTTAACAAGAATTCATAAAGAGTTATAAAAGGTTTATGAGAAACCTTATGGTCAAACCAATTAAGACTGGATAGATTTGTCTATAAGGTTTTATTAAAAATTGGGGTTGAAGCTGGGCACACTGGCTTACGCCTATAATCCCAGCACTTTGGGAGGCCAAGGCAGGTGGATCACCTGAGGTCAGGAGTTCGATACCAGCCTGGCCAACATGGTAAAACCCCGTCTCTACTAAAAATACAAAAAAAAATTAGCTGGGTGTGGTGGTGGGCACCTGTAATCCCAGCTCTTCGGGAGGCTAAGGCAGGAGAATCACTTGAACCCAGGAGGCGGAGGTTGCAGTGAGCTGAGATCCTGCCACTGCACTGCAGCCTGGGTGACAAGAGCAAGACTTCATCTCAAAAAAAAAAAGAAGAATTGGGGTCGAAGAAAAATATTCACTGTTTAGTCTACTCCTGTCATACATGGAAAATTAGCTTTCTCTCCACTCTGGCCATTCAAATGTTTGAAGACATATACAGTTTTTTTGTGATTTATGTCTTCATCCAGTTAAAAGCATGCAGCTTCTTCTGTTGTCAGTTGTAGGTTCCTCGAGAGCAGAGTGCTATCTTCTCGTGTCTGCGTGCCCAGTCCTTACAGTGCCTAGCTCATTTGGATTCCTCACATTTTCTTATGGAATGAATGAATAAATTCTACTTTTATCATTTCCCCCTAAGTCAAATCTCTTTAGACACATGCAGCCCAAATCTTTCCTAAAACAGATTGGCCAGAACATGTTTAAATTTTAGGATTTCTTCCCCACCCCCCCACCCCCACCTGCCGCAAGATGACGTCTCGCTCAGTCACCCAGGCTGGAAGTGCAATGGCACGATCTCGGCTCACTGCAACCTCCACCTCCTGGGTTCAAGTGATTCTCCTGCCTCAGTCTCCTGGGTAGCTGTGTCCACCACCACGCTTGGCTAATTTTTCTTTTGAATTTTTAGGAGAGACAGGGTTTCACCATGTTAGTCAGGCTAGTCTCGAACCCCTGACCTCAAATGATTCACCCCCCTACTCAGCCTACCAAAGTGTTGAAATTACAGACGTGAACCACCACGCCTGGCCAGATTTCTCTTCTTTTTACAAAAATAATACATCTTCATTCTAGAAAACGTGTATCAACAACAACAAAATCACCAAACAGCCCAATGCCTGGGAATAAAAACTATTAGTATTTTGATTTGTATTTCTCTTAGTTTTTCTTCTGCATATATGTATGTGTGTGTGTGTGTGTGTGTGTATATATATATTTTTTTAATATACATTTTTCATCAGAATGAGATGCAATTTTAAAAGCTACTTTTTATGCTTAACGAAACCTCATGGGCGTCTTTCCAAGACAGTATACCTGAATATGCCATGTCATTTTTAAAAGTTATTTTGTAATTCAACTGAAATAGAAGAACAGGAAAGTACACAAGTCCTAAGCATTCTGTGTGATGAAATTTTACTAACTGGACGCAACTATCTTACCAAGATGCAGATCAGGAAATTGAATGTGACCAAAACCTCAGAAGTCTCCCTCTCCCTGTGTCTCCTCATCACTACTCCCTGCAAAGATCACCGTAGACATTTTTAACTTCCATAAATGGAATCACACTGCAGCTATTCTTTTGTATCTGTCCTCTTTCAGCACATCATTTTAATGACTGCATATTATGCCTTTATATTGCTGTAATATAATTCATTCAATTTATACCTATTGTTGTATTTTCATGATACATTATTTTTTTCCTTTTTTTTTTTTTTTTTTTTTTGCTTTCATTAAAACTTCTGTAATGAGGTCTGTCTCTGTCTTGGCTGGGGCAGCCATCTTGCTCTGGGCCGCGTGCTAGTGTCAGAGGACCCTCTCTGCTACAGATTTACCAACAGCAGGAATCAAGAAAAGTTAGCCAAACTTCAGGCTCAGGTCCGGATAGGGGGCAAGAGTGCAGCTCACAGAAAGAAGAAGGTGGTATATAGAACAGCTACAGCTGATAACAATAAGCTTCAGAGTTCTATGAAAAAACTAGCTGTGAATAATAGAGCTGGTATTGAAGAGGTGAACATGATTAAAGATGATGGGACAGTTATTCATTTCGACAATCCCAAAGTCCAAGCTTCCCTTTCTGCTAGCACCTTTGCAATTACTGGTCATGCAGAAACCAAACCAATCACAGAAATGCTTCCTGGAATATTAAGTCAGCTTGGTGTTGACAGCTTAACAAGTCTTAGGAAGTTAGCTGAACAGTTCCCATGGCAAGTCTTAGACAGTAAAGCACCAAAACCAGAAGACACCAACGAGGAGGAGGAGGATGTTTCAGATCTTATAGAAAATGTTGAGGAGGCATCAAAGATGAAGGCTAACTAAAATTTTGGTTTTTGGAAGCTGGCATGGACTATATTTAACAAATCAGCTATGTGGTTCCAAAGTGTTACAGACACAGAGAAGATTACCTGTTACTAGTTATTAGTTCAGTAATATAAATATTATTTTGTATATTAATAATGCTGTTTGTTCAGCGTTTTTTGGTCATTTGATTTTGCATTTTGCACTTCCTCCCAAGATATTTTTTTGGTCAAAACATGATGTATTGGTGCAGTTTGAGGATGTTTTGGTTTTTGAAAGAAAATTCTATAATGAATATCTATGTAACTAAAACAGTGATTTTTTTTTCTCTTTAGGTTAAATTCACAGATATGAATCAAACTTTTAAGATTTTTTTTTTAACTTATATTACCAAATTCCCCTTCAAAAAAATTGTGCCCATTTTATGTTCCCATCACTATGTATAAGACTTCCAGTTTCAGTGATGTGGTCTAGAATGAAACATAAAACCTCAGATGTAATCCAGCTAACATTCACCCTGAATGCCTCACTTCCCTTGACTTTACACAGATAAACTGCAAGCACAGATATTCTCCAAGTTCTCTGACAAAGACAAAAGTTAGAGTGATAGTGCTAGAAATAACCCTTGGAACAAGACACTTATTTTCCATCAGCAAGCTTATTTTCAGGTGAGAATACAGAAGCCGAAAGAGGTAAGATATCAGAGCAGACAGATTCCCAAAGAAAATCAAACTAGAAAACCACATGTAGAAAAAAAGCAGCAGAGAAACAAAACAAAATATGTCTTTAGCAGTTATTTATGGGGAATGAAACTATTTTTCTTCTTCTTTTTACTTTTCTGAAAGGAGCATATCTTTCTTTCCTAGTGGAGCAAAAAGTATTTCTTTTAAAAGAAGAGGGGACATGGTGGCACACCTGTAATCCCAGCACTTTGGGAAACTGAGGGAAGTGGATAGCTTGAGGCCACAAGTTTGAGACTAGCCTGGCCAACATGGTGGAACCCTGTCTTACTAAAAATGAAAATAAAAAATGAGCTGGGCATGGTAGTGCATGCTGCATGCCTGTAATCTCACCTTCCCAGGAGGCTGAGGCACAAGAATGAATCACCTGAACCTGGGAGGTGCAGGTGGCAGTAGCCGTGAGCTGAAATCAGCTAGCCTGGGCAACAGAGCAAGACTCTGTCTCAAAAAAAAAAAAAAAAAAAAACCTTAATAAATGAAGGAAAAATAGAAAGGAGGAAGTAAATTTGTAAGTTTCCTACTATATACACTTAATATATGCCTAAGGCCTACTAAGACCTAGTACAAAGTAGGCTTAAAAATAGGAAAAATGGCATGTTTAAAAATCTGGAAGGGGCAGGAACTCTAGAACAATGAATTCCGAAAATGCAAGCAGAGCCTGAGTGAAGCAACTTTTGAAAAGCAACTCTGGTCTGTTGATTTGAAAAAACAAATGTACTTGATGAGCTGGGTCTGGAATAGGCCCTGGAGACCTCTGGCTGAAGCAACAAAGGATCGGTGTTTGATAGGTTGATTGGTTGTGGTTTTGTTTTGTTTTGTTTTGTTTTTCTTTTTTTTGTGTGTGTGGTTTTTACCTTTTTAAATTTTTCTGTAAATCTGTATTCAGCTGAAAGGACAGGTTATTTAATGGCATTTTCTTATGAGCAGTTTGGAATTCTTGCCTCTGTCTCTGTTTGGAGGGTTAGGGTGAAGATAGGGTTAGGGTGCTGTGAACTATAAGAGGTCACCAGCTTCATGGGGTGGAAACATTTAGGAACCACCACCAACAGGCACCAGGAAAGGTGCCTGCCCTTTCCTCTCACCTGAGACCTGAACCCTTCTGCATTTTCTGTCCATGTAAGAGCTGGAGTCATGGCATTCGGTTTCAGAGTCTTGTCTTAATCAGGGATCTCACATCTTACTGTGGCTGTGGTGGGTGTTGGCTGAATGAATCGTAAAACCATAGACTGTTAGCTCAGAGATAATCACATCCCTAAAGTCTACTATTCTTAGTTAATAAGTGGGCCAGAAGTGGTGACTCACACCTATAATCCTAGCCCTTTGGGAGGCTGAGGTGGGCAGATCACTTGAGGCTAGGAGTTCGAGACCAGTCTTGCCAACAAGGCACAACCCCATCTCTGCTAAAAATACAAAAATTAGTTAGGTGTGGTGGCACAAACCTGTAACCCCAGTCACTCGGGAGTCTGAGGCAGGAGAATCACTTGAACCCAGGAGTCAGAGGCTGCAATGAGCCAGTATCACACCACTGCACTCCAGCCTGAGTGACAGAGTGAGACTCAGTCTCAAAAAAAAGTTAATAAGTGATGGGGCCTGATAGGGTTGCCAAATTTAGCAAATAAAAGTACAAGAGCCATTGATAGATCTGAATTTTAGGTAAACAGTGATATGGCGTTTAGTATAAGACTCATGCAGTGTTGAACTGGGTGTCCTGTATTTTATCTGGCCACCTGATGGGGCCTTGATGAAAGCTCAGCTCCCAGTGACCATGAGGTCTGTCTGATTTCCAGAAAGGCCAGAAGGGCCCCACATGGGAGAAGCTGTGGAGTTTAGTAGTTCCAGGGCACAGTTAGCCCTTGGCACGGTTTCTTCATCTGTTACAGTATTACGAGTAGTACTTGCTTCAAATAGCTGTTGTAAGAATAAAATAATTACACATAAAACAGATATTTATTAGATAAAATATCAAGCCAAAAGCATTGTGACTTTTATCTGAATAGTCTGCAATGACTTCTCAAACAAATTTGGTCTCTCAACTATACTGTTGGTGCAAAATAGGCCACAGTTCCCCTGCTATTCTCTCCAGCTTTATGCTAAGAAAACCAAAAACCCCTCATCTGCAAGACAGAGGTATGGCCCTCTGTCTTGATTTTGATAAGGCAACAAGGATTTGTATTAACCATCATAATAATTATTCATTCATGATAGAGCCACTATCTTAGCATTATTACATTGTAAATATAAAAAGAAAAATCAACAAAGACTTCCTGCAGTGACGTTGGGGAGTTCACAGCAAATTGCCTCCTTTAGATTATCTAATCTAGAAGTTCCGAATCAGGCTAATCATCAGAATCACTGGGGAATTATCCTTTTTTTTACGAAAATATTTCGAACATACAGCAAAGCTGAAAGAATATTACAGTGAACACGTGGATACCCAACACCTAGAGTCTTCAATTAACATCTTACTTACTACAAGTTGGGTATCTCTAACCCAAAAATCCAAAATGTTCCAGAATACTAATCTTTTTGCATGCCACCATGTTGCTCAAAGGAAATGCCTCACAGCAATATTTGGGGTTTTGAATTTCAGGATTTGGGATTCTCAACTAGTAAATATACGCAAATTTTCTAAAATCCAAAAGAATTAAAATACTTCTGATCCCAAGCATTTCAGATAAGGAGTGCTCCAACCTGTATATCTTGTCTTGCTATATATCTGTCCCTCTATTCATCCAATACATCTTTTTTCTTGTACATGTCAAAGTAAATTGCAGATGTCTGTACACTTTCCCTGGTGAATTTTCTAAAACTGTAAGTTTCTAGGCCTCAGCCCAGAAATGTACAGGTCTGCTAATTCAGGAATTTTTTCAAACAACCCCCAGCTTCACTCTGGTAACCATGCTGATGGAGCCCTTATTACCCAAAACACTACCAGTCTCATGCCAAAGTGAAAAGACCTGGCACACATGTGTCGGGTGTAAAACTTCTACTCAAAAATGGTAACATCTGCCTCTGCCCACATTTCCTTGGCCATAGCAAGTCCCTTGGAACTCTTAAATTCAAATGGTTGGGACAGGCCAGGCAGAGTGGGAGGCCAACATAGGCGGATTACCTGAGGTCAGGAGTTTGAGACCAACCTGATCAACATAGCGAAACCTCGTCTCTACTGAAAATACAAAAAGTAGCCAGGCATGGTGGTGGGTGCCTGTAATCCCAGATTCTCAGAAGGCTGAGGCAGGAGAATCGCTTGAACCCAGGTGGTGAAGGTTGCAGTGAGCCAAGATCGCACCATTGCACTCCAGCCTGGGCGACAGAGCAAGACTCCATCTCAAGAAAAAAAGAAGGAGGTGAGAATGAGTAACTCTTCCACAGGCACAGGGAGAAGCACTGTGAAAGGAAATCTTGAATATGTAAGAAAGTAATACAGTCTAACACAGGAAGCCACTATTTAATTCAGCCTCTTTTTACAGACAGGCATGCTAGCATCCAAAGAGGCTAAGTGACTCTCCCAGGATCACTCAGCTAGTCCAGAGCAGGAGTGATCAAGAAGCAAGGACTCCTAACTGCCTTTCTTGTCATGTACAGGGTTGCCTCCGTGAAGCTCACAGATAGTTCATCATTCATTAATTGATACACTATACACAGGCACTGATAAATAAGGCACGGTTTCTGCTGTCAAGACATTCCCAGTCCCATTTGAAGTTTTTCCACGGAACCTTCAGCTGACCCTTGCATATTTCCACATATTCCCCTAATAACCTGAAGCAGTCAGTGCACTTCAGAACTAATAAAGATGTTGTCTTTGAGGATAAAGATCTATTTTTCTCAATTGTTTTCGGTCCAAGAGTGTCAGTTCCAGCAACAGCCTGCTGATCCCGGCACAGTGATGCAGCTCTTCCCAGATGGGAGAATGTTTTGAGTGACTCATGGGCCCAGACTGGTTGAGAATCATTCCTAGGGCACAATCAGTTCATGATCTGATGGCATAATAGCTTTTCTCAGAAAAGAGTCTTTCAGTCACAAAAACCTCAGCCCAACATAGGGACCCATTTTCATTTAGGGAGAAAGAAATATTTCAACAGGAAGAAATACGATAGATTTCTAAAATATAATGGTTATCTAGGAATAAGATAGTTTGATTTGCAAAAGATAATCAATCCTCTCACAAGCTATAACTGGGAAGACTATGCATCTTTGAAGCTGTTGAAACAGTACCACGATATAGAACTGCTCTGTCCAACCTTTGTAAGCTCATAGAATTTTACTGGAAGTAAGCTAGAA